GGTTTATATACCCGGCGGATCTTCTGCCCGCGTGTTGTCATAACGTGCTTCTATGTGGGGCTCCTGACTTTATCCCCGCTCAGAGCTCCCGTTTCAGCCAGGTAAGTGCCCCGTGTTTGCTCACAAGTATTCGGTAACATGTTTACAGGACTCCGGGCCCAAAGGTGGCGGTCTTGTCACCCGACATAGCTTCACCTGCAAGCCGAGCCGCATTGTTCGTTTGTCCGCTTCAATACTTGTTTTGGCCGCTCGGAACCATCAATGCCTGGTGGTCTCCTGGTCTTGAAAGAGTGCCCGGTGTCAGTAAATTGTGTTTGCAACGCTTTGTACGCCATAGACGGGGGTAATGAAAATCCGGGTCCCTACACAGCTCTTTTGCTCTCGTCTATTGTCTCGCCATTCCTCGCGACATTTGTCATTCATACAAAGGCAGTACAAACCAACGGACACCTGATTCTGCCCATAAACACAGCACGGCCACGGTGTTCAGCCAGTGTTGGGGTCCCTTCTAAAAGGTGTGTTACGGGCGACTGACAGGGAAAAGAGAGACCTGGTCCAATGTATACAATGGCACATTGAAATGAAATAGAAGAAAGGAGTAGGCGCAGAAGTTTTTAGTCACGAAACTCACACTGACAGGCATAGCTCTGTGACGCTACTAAAACAGTAACAGGTTGCGAAAAAAAAGACCTAAAACCCTCACATGTTCCACTTGTAACGTGAGCGTTCTGCTCTATGAAAGAGCTCTAAAAGTCATCACATAGTCAAACACGTTGCCGGAAGCTTTTTGTTCACCTTCTCAGCGAAGTTTACTGTACAAGCAAATGATTGGATGGGAATCGGTTTACTCGCCAAACTTTACACTTCATTTCTATTTTTCTTCTGTCTGTCAGAGGGTTATTGTGTGGTGGGTGAATGTCTGCTGACGTGTGTGTAGTCCGGAAACCTTTCCCTGGTACAGTGAAACCACGGTGAGAGAGAAGGAGGCATCAATCATAATACGTCTGTGGGAGTGTTGACAGGTTTCCCACCTGATACCACGCAATTGAACTGATGATATTCCAATGATAACAACGCAAACAGATGCAAAAACGTTCAGCTTTTAATACTGTTAAAAAGCCACAAAAAAAGAAGTGACTGAGATCTACCACACACGAAAATGACCGCCGAAGTATTAATATTAGCAGGTCTAGGGCCAGTCTAGTAAAATGAGGGGTGAAAAGTGTGTGTGTGTGGGGGGGGGGTGATGCCGGGGAAACACTGATTATTTCTGTTTTATATTCTTGCTTTGTTGTTGTTAAATTTGTTCCTGTCAGTTGTATGGTTATGACACCCCAAAAAAAGAAGAAGTTGAGTGAGTAAGGGATAGGGGAATGTGTGCACACAAAGGGAAGAGTTTGTACATATAGCGCGCGGTATTGGGTTGCATTTGATTTACTCCACCGCACGCCTGGTAAACCTAACACTAAGAAATCGTCAGGCATGACTACACTCCAGATATGTTCCCCCTTCTCCCTCTGCCATTTACATGTCTCCAAGGCGTCTACTCATTCCGGACTGCCACAAAAGTTGGCCCGGATTCTTTCGTTAAACCCAGGCTTGATCCGAGTAAGCAGGAAGTTTGGTCCGACTGCGAGTCGGGGTCAAACCTTAGACTATCTGACAAAACCCAACTTTAAGAAGCGTCAACATGCCTGTAGTTCCACACTGCTTCTGCGGTCGTGTTTTCTGTCAAAATAACTCCAAACCCTCGTCGGTGTAACATGAACAAGACTATAAGAAGACTCGCCTTCAGTATCATTTTCTATGAACATATCTCCAGCCAAAAAGACGGTTTCAGTTAATTTCGCAGCTACGGAACACGGAAGGAAAGTCAAGCCGGCGTGGTAGGTTTCTAGTCGGGCTTGTGAACGAGAAATGTTCGCAGACGATAAGTTGAGTAAGTTCCCGCGCGGGAAAAACCGTTCCCCACCGGCGCGCCGTCCTGGCCTATTTGTCAACTGGATGATTCATGGGATATCGAATGGCTCCGTATATACAAGCCGTTAGCCTCAATTAATGTATACACTATCGGCCATCAGTGGTGGTAATGTCCCGACACAAAGGTGATCACTGTGTACACACGCAAGCGGACAGACCGCCCTTCAGTGCGGGGTAGGCCCTCTGCCGTCTCCGGTTGTAGGGGGAGGTTTAGAAAATATGGTAGAGTCATTAAGAGAAATTCGATACCCATTCATCACGCGGTTGTCACTTCATCTGAAACGGATTAAGGCCTTGAAGAAATCAACACAAGGTCTTGATGGCGATTCCCCTTCAAAACCAAGATCGTCTCGAGCGCATCGTATTTTCTGTCTGAAGGTAAAAAGTTGGAGTCGGACCGGGAGTAGGTAGTGAGGAAAAATGCGGGTTTGTTCCCGCCAGGTTTCCCGCGCTCCGGGGGGCTTGCCCTCACACATGTCCCGGGCATATGTTCCCGGGCATTACGCCTAACCACGCGTATATTAGGCGTCCCTCCCTCCAGGACCCGACATACGGGGTCACAACACCTAAAGAGGGAGCTAAACAAACCAGACGGTGCCCGTTCTGTGCCTTTTAACACAACCAAAAAAAAAAAAAACGTTCTCCTCCTAGCTCATTTAGAAAGGCCCGAAGTGGCATGGTTGGCTTCGTACCCTGACCTCGCAGCAATCTATCCCTGCCTTGCTCCTTCCTGTACTGCTCACCCAAGCACGCCCAACGTCCTGGCCTGTATGGCTTCTAATATACTCACAGAACATGAAACCAGACAAATTCATCAGAAAACCACGACCCAAAAAAATCAAGCTAACAATACATGTTTGATTAGCAGTGACCCACGGGGAGTTAATTATTTTGCAATCAGCTACTAAATATTGTAAATCAAACACTAATGGTTTCCTTTTGATGAGATTAACACTCTTGAGCCGATTCACACGTAGACGATAATATACTCGACGTGAAGTTTATTATAGAGCCCCGCGTGAAGGGAGTTTGTACAATAACGACAGCGAACCCGGCCTGGCCTGGCCAGTGGGATTCGAGACTGGGCAACGTGGGACAGGCTGGCGTCAGACAGGGGTTTTGATATATATTCCCTCTGATCCCAAGTTTATTTTCACGGCTACAGAAAACGCTTGAAAACTCCACTTGGCTTGGTTTAAACGGCGCGACCGGCGGGCACATTTCAGCACTTGCCTGCCCGCCACACAGCCACCACTGAGGGCTAGTTATTTTTCTCTTCACGGTTGGTAATGAAGACCAGACCGGGCGATTTTCCGCACGGATCTCTCCCACAGAGAAAACGACATTCTTGGGCAGGAAGCAACTGTTTCTTTCCTCGTGTGAAATTCCGAAACTCGCAAAAGTACAACTCGGGGTACGCCTCAAAAGTGTCAAAACCTGTACTACCTAGAGAGATTATGTCAACACGTAGGTGCGAAGTGTGGGGACAACAAATTAGATAAGGAATGCTAAACTCCTTCGGAGTTAGTTCTTGGCAAATAAAGAAAAGTTCTCGGTCGCGAAACGTGCTTGTGAGACAAATGGATAATGTAAACAGCGACTTCCCATGTCGGACAGGGGGGTCACATGGCAAGACCCTCCACATGAATCACTGTACGGGACACCCTATACCAGATACTGTATGACAAAATAAACCTAGAAAGAGTGCTGGAAGAAATGTAATATCCGTCCCAAACCGGGCGTGAGGCGTGCCACTTTTGGCGGGAGGGCGTCAGGGGCGTAAATTTCCCCCCAACCCCTCTGTCCCTGTCGTCTGACTCTCGCTATTTTAGGTAAACAGATGGTGGACGTATATTTAGCTTTGTTTTTACAGGTGCGGGTTCGTGTATTGCCTTCTATATAGCTTTCATGGTGATGTCTGGAGGTCTTTTGGGTGCACTTCTGTCTGACCAAGTGGGCCTGTCATTTACCGTTCCCTAAAGTGGCCACGTCTTGGATGGGAGACGTTGAAACGGATACTCCTTACAAGAGGAAGTCTTGAAAGCCCACGCCAATATTCTTCACATCTGCGTTTGTTATTCCAGAGGATGCGAGTAAGAGGGAGACAATGAAAAGAAAACAATCAACAGATCGGGCTTCAAGATAGGAAACCCGACACTTTATTTGTGAGGCGAGTTTTGCAGACGTGACGTGAGTGGGCGGGGCTTGGGGCCCGGTCGTACATTTGAGAAGTGGCCAGATCATATTGATTTCTGACCCGGGGCCGTGCCTGATACCTTATACTTACTAATACTGGGGCCGATCCACGTATTGGTTCCGGTATCGAAACAGCTGTTTTGTCAATAAGAACTGTCAAACGAAAAAGCATTCCAACGATGCCGGTGATGTACTCTACCTGTCAAACATTATCTGTAATAACATGTCAGTCCATTTGTGTCTAGCCATGGCGATGTTTATCTCCTGGCTGAATCGTGGGAGGGGCGAATGGCTTCTCGTATTTCCAGGCCGTCCCAAATGTCCGAGTCCTCAGGGTCCCCGTCTGTCTATCAAAATCACAGTTCTGTTCCCCCGCCTGGCGCGAACCAGGCCTGGACTCCGCCAGAAACCCGCCCGGAGCCACCAGCCACCACCCGGGCTATTCAATCCCTCATTATCTCAAGAGCAAACAGCCCATTGGGCCATTGTCGCGAAAATAATTAGATAGTGTGTGAAGTTTTCGCCATGTATTCGCCATGTTATTCTATCTATTTTCCCGTCAATTAGCCGACTGTTGTGACCATCGGTCAGGTGTAAGCGGAGATGGGGGACGGAGTGGTGTGGAAATAAACTCGGAACTCCGCGCCCTCTATCGTTCTAGCTACGGCTGAGATACTCTTTTGACACCTAAGTGCATCTCAGGTTACATTGATTGACATTGTCGCCATAGTGAATAATTTAGTAAACCATTGGAATAATATCGATATATCCGGCGCGCACACTCCTGACCAATCACGGCAAAGCAGCTGGCTATTAATGTCGCCCTAAAATAATAATGTCAAAAAGTAGCAACCCCACACGTTGGCCTGTTTGTAGTGGCGTTTTTCCCGGCTACACACACACACACGCACGCACGCACGCCGGAGTTTTGTGTGTAGCGTTAGCACCACAGTAGCAAGGTAGCGAGCGGGCGGACAAGCCGGTCGGATCGCTTCGGGCTCAACCGCGGAGACGCCATGCTACCTTCGTTCGGGTTCACCCAGGAGCAGGTCGCCTGCGTGTGCGAGGTCCTGCAGCAGAGCGGGCAGATCGAGCGCCTCGGCCGCTTTCTCTGGTCTCTGCCCGCCTGCGAACACTTACATAAGAACGAGAGCGTGCTCAAGGCAAAGGCAGTGGTCGCCTTCCACCGAGGAAACTTCCGGAGTTGTACAAGATCTTGGAGAGTAACCAGTTCGGGCCTGAGAATCACCCCAAGTTACAGCAGCTATGGTTGAAGGCACATTATATGGAGGCCGAGAAGTTGCGAGGCCGGCCGCTCGGCGCCGTGGGGAAGTACCGTGTCCGCCGAAAGTTTCCGCTGCCCCGTACCATCTGGGACGGCGAGGAGACCAGCTACTGCTTCAAGGAGAAGTCCCGGGGCGTGTTACGGGAGTGGTACGCTCACAACCCGTACCCTTCCCCGAGAGAAAAGAGAGAGCTAGCCGAGGCCACGGGCCTGACCACGACCCAAGTCAGTAACTGGTTCAAAAACCGGCGGCAGCGGGACAGGGCAGCCGAAGCTAAAGAGAGGTAAGCCTACCGCCACAGCCATTCATTCGCTACACGCTACACAGTGCATGGAACTAGTGTCGGTGTATAACGTACACAATACCCTGGATATATATCCTCTAGTGTCAGTGCAAATACATTTCTTGAATTCAATTACAGGTTAAGGTTGCCAGTAAACTTAAACACGTGAACGCAAGACAACCTCTCATCGAATTGTAGTACAAGAGCACCCCTTGTGTTTCTGTAAGTTCCCTCTGTTCGCGGAACAGTTGGTAAACATGACCGACTTTCGGTTGGCTTTGTGTGCATGTGGGCAAATTTGTGTGTCCAGAAGCCTTTCATACAACAACATGCTGGGTTACCTTGTATGTACCTGTCACCATTACCACAACAGTAGCTAGGAAAAACGTATTTGTGAACCAACAAGTAGACCGATGTTGCAATCCATACTGCGCCGCCATTTTTGTTTTCAACACATGTATGAGGTAGCTAGTTCTACTAACGCATGGATTTTCCTTACAATTACAACTGTACTGTTTATAAATTAACGTTACATGTAACGTTTAATGTTTAAAACAAAGTGGAGGTAGGAGTACAAGAAAACTTTATGTTCAAAATAGTAAATATTACGAAGTGTACAGCCATAACAGACACAGTGTCCACCTGCAACATATTCACATAGTAAAAAAAAAAACTTGCCACTTTTATCGTGGGAAAAATATCTGAATCATATTTTGAGTCGTGCATTAAGTGAAGCCAAAGAATGCCAACAGTGTTAGTCATCAGAATATTCACGCATGCATTGTTTATGTATATGTAAGCGGTATGAATATTGTTGAGACATTTTTTAGTCCAAGTTTGATTATTGTTCTGCAAGTGCATGGTTATGTTACTGTTAGGCAAATTTCTCACTATCTTTGTTCTCCCAACATGTTCAGGGAACAACAAGAACAGACCAAACTGGGGCCGGACCAAGTTGGCCAGCCTGGCGAGGACCAAGTGGATAGAAACCCTGGGGCCGAGCTGCAACACGAGGACAGTAAGCAGAACATAGTATTCACGTCCATGCAGAACCCGGGACAGAATTCCGTAACACCGACCGATATGAACACTCCGATGGGCACACTAGCGCCGTCCGGTCCGGGGCCGGCGGGGCCGAGCGCCGTCGCCGTAAGTAACTCGGACGTTCTAAACCCCCAGTCTATGCAGGGTGCCATGATGGCGACTATGGCCTCAGACCTGGTCAGCTTAGGGCCCTAACACTTGCCTCAGCCACAGGACTAGCGTGGCACGAGCCCAAAGACACTTCTCATATAGCCATGAGAAAGAATACTTACATATCCGCGCTTATAACAATCAAATACAAGGAAGTTACTAGTATATACAACAGCACACAAGTTGTTACCAGTTACCAAAATACAACCCACAAAAAACTACAGACGGTTTGAAAACTCCAAGAAGATGCAGTAAGAATATCGTGGATGTACAAATAACGTTTTTAGTTTTGTACGAGTGCCATCTTGTGCTGTGTTCTTTTTTTAATTTTTTGGTTGTTGTTGTTGTTGTTGTTGTAGTCTTTACCGTCTGTATGTGCGCACTTGCCAAAGTATTGTTGTAAATAATCCTAGGATATAGGAAATAGGTTGTTATACTGTTGTTGCGACCAAGATAGTTAAAGCCGTGGGGCTTCGCTGCCGTGGTGTTTTTAGTACTAACTAGACTCATGTCATCTGCAAACACAGTTCTTTATCCCCCTCAGAGCTTAGCTTATACCTCAGTTGTCAGGCGTTACTCGGAGCTGAGAAAGCGTAGCACAGACCCCAGCCTTATCCTACCTGTGTTATCCACAAACTCCTACAACTGTTACCATGTAATATACTTCTTACCGCCAAATCGTTCAAGACTGTTAGAGCTTTCAACGTTCTAGCCCCGGATATATAGTTAGCTACAAGCTATGTAACTGGTCGATGGATATGTGCGCATCTTATATTTTTTAAAGCGTTTGTTCATATCTCATGAATATTGTTCAAAATTTTGCTTGTTTCAACTGAAACTTCTCTCCCCATTAGTATGAATAAAATTCATACGACGATGTATATTTATTTTTCGTTTTGTCAGTCGGTCATCAGTGAGTCATGAATAAATATGTTGCGAGTAGCAAAGCGTTAAAAAGATTTTTTTTAAATGCACACTGAGTGCCGTTAGCAAGGTTTATTGTATGTAATAATATTTTTGTGACGGACAAGTAACTTAGTCAACACAAGGCGGGGTTCCATTTTGCAGAAAAATCCAAAGACTCACAAATTTAAGGACATCAAAATAAACCTGTGGTGTTCATGTGCGACCAAAGATGTCAGGACCGTAGAGAGAAATATACAGACTACAAAGGCCGCTTACAAAACGTGGTGTATGGCACAGTGTAGAAACTAACCTATAGACTTTGACACAAAATACTGTTGGTATACGTAGAGCTTTTGAGAATTTTGGCTCAAAATGTGTGGATAAGTCTTGTATTACCCGTAATGAGCAGGCTAGGGGGTTGGTTTTAATGAGATTTGGTTGCCATTTTAACGCCGCATGTGTGAGGGACCCTCTGTGGGGTTGAAGCAGCGTGGCAGTCCTAACCCTGCCGCCCGGCCGGGGTGGCCCTACCGTTGGTTTTGAGGACAATTTCACGCTAACAGACATAACAGTCGGTGTCAATGACGATTTGTTCAAAAATTACACCGTCATTGTCCTCTACAAAGGCCAAAAATTGCTATAATTACACAGCGCTACACCCCCGGCCTTCGGTGCTAAGCGTCAATATGGAACAGCTTCTGCAAAACATGCAAGCAGAGAATCAGCCGACGTTTTTATATTTTTCCCATTCTTGTATTCAAAAACTAGGTCCTATATCAGATTTTTTGTCTTATCTGGCGTCGTTTGTTCAGCTAAAGTGGTGGCTTTGTCCAATTCTCAAAACAAAATTTGCGACGTCTAGCATTCAGGTAGGTTTATAAAGATGCACGTTTTGTGTCGTGTGTATTCATACTGCTAAAATTCAGTGACTTCCGCAAAACCTGGCTTCATATCGCTTGTTTTTCTTTGCAAGAGGAAAAAAAAAGAGAGAAAATGTTTGGTTTGAAGTCTTGAAGAACTCTCGTGTGCCCATGTGTGTGTTTGTTGTTGGGTGGAGTGAAGAGTACTGAATCATACATAAGGGATATCTGCTGAAGTATTTGGGCGGGACAGCCGACACTTCTAAAGCACAACAGAGCTACTTGTACACCGAGGATTGCTTTCTCCAATTGGCAATAATAAAGGGCTGATATTGGTGGTCCAGGTTCCAACAACTTCTCGAGTGTACGCGGAGTACGGACGGCGCAAGGGCCTGTGTCCAGTACAAGTACCGGCGCCGACGGTGTAGGCTTTCTCCCCGACAATGGCGCGGCCACTGGACGCCCCATGTCCAACAGTGGATGACCACTTGTGACCGAAATGGATCATAACGGAAAAATTTGTGAACCAATCCGACAATAATATGTGCACAGGTAGTATTAGCGGTATGAAATGAAGCTGAAATGTTCCACACATTATCCAAAGTTGAGCGGTTTGTCAAAAACAACTATGTTTTGAAAGCGATTTTTTGTTGTTGTGGTGGTAGTGGTCTTCGACGCTCGGGCTGGGGCTTTGGCACGCACACAGGAAAAAAAGCAGCTAAATTGAAGCTTAGTAATCTCTAAATAGTGTGGGAAAATGTAGCGTATTGTCAGACGTCCATCCTTGTGTATGATTTACAATGGGAATATGTCCAAAACGTCTTTTGTGTGACGGGCTCCGTCGCGTGTAGCGCCACAGGGCGCATCAGACACCTTCGCTCGAGGGTTTGTGGATACAGCTGGCGTATCATACGTGCACATGGATGCTCCTGGTAAAAAAACATTTGTAGCTAGGTAAAGAAAATCTTCATCAGATATTGTTATATTACACAGGTCATCCAAAATGAACGTCCACACAAGAAAACCACCTGACAGCAATGTCTTTTATTTTCACCTGTCATTGTCATTTTTCAATTCGGAGTGACAGAAATTATGGTGCCTTTCGTGGGATATCTTTAAGACAAAGCCAGTCGTCAAGTGGTGGTTTTATGTTCTAGTGTAAAAGATAGTCATCAATGCCATACCTCTCCTTGTAATCAAGACATTGCATCCCTTTTACACGAGGACGAAAACTGTAATGTAAAGAAGAATGACAACAGCTCTTATGGTCACAACAGAATGTCACATATGTCGAGCGTGTTTGTTAACAACATTTTTCTTCGGCGTAGTGCTGGTGTATTAAACGGACATACTGTTTCACATGACGGAAATACCTGTTACTACATATTCATCTAGCTTATATATACTTAGAGCTCTGAATTTATCCCTATCAACAAACAATATTTAAGGCCATACTTAGCGTTGGTCACATTGGTTATGTAATTTGGACGGTTTCAGATTTTTGACGGATGTATGTGAGTAACATTAAGTACGAGCGTGCTTGGATGGGGCTTGGGGTAATCTGAACACTATCCGCGCCCGTACACGCTTCCTTGCCGATATAAGAACACCCTACACTGATCCCACCTCAACTATACGGACGTATACAGTTTCTCACAGAAGTGTCCAAGTGGCTTTATTGAACCCTTGTTGGGTTCATTGAAACCGTACACTGAGACTGTTGTAGTCGCTGGGAATCCACTGTACCACCAAACCGGCCACGGTTTGTTGCGATCATTTGACGTGGGCAAACCTGCCACAGAAAAGAAGCTGAGCCGCTTTGTTTTTTTAGCAGCCCGGCTTATATCCGCTGCGAGTCAAAGAAGATACACAAGAGAGGGGGAAAGAGTAGGGCAGACCTTGCATGTAACTATTTGTATCACGGTGGGTAGGCGGCGTTTGGCTTCTAGAATTACCAGCGTCCCTCAGTAATCTGCTTTAAAATCCTTATCTAAATCGTGCTTGGAAAAGGTAACAGAAAGTTGAGGCGGTTGACAGAGAAATATGGCGGCCTGACATTCGATCTGAAACCGAAGCCCCCATTTGTACGAGGAGTCGTCTGTCGGTCTGCGCCGAGTCTCATCCTTCATTTTTGCACCTAAATCTACCTTAAGACATCCTGCAAACTTGAAAGACGTCATCGGTACCTTTTTACCGTTACGTATACACCTGTGTTCAAACAAAAGGCAGGGGGTACCGCCTGACTTTTAAAATTTGAGGGATAATCTGCTGGGCTTTTCGCTCACGGGGTCTCTCTTTGACGGATAGGGCCAACTGCGAACGCAGGGGAGAGCAAAGACCTCTGCTATTTTTAGACAAAAAGAAATATCAGAAATTGTATCTGTGCTGCTGACATATTCTGCAACTGTATCCGTGAGACGTTAAACGCGCCCTTTTAATGCCAGTGTTGAATGAATGTTGAAAATGGCCAGTAGGAAGGTTGGCAGAAGGGCAATGGCATATGGTAAAACATAAAGTCCGTCTGGCTAATGCATGCTGTTCCCTTAGCCATATTTCTCAGGAATTTTGCCGTTATCTGTTCCATGCTAGCAGAATTCACTAAATCATTGACTGATTGTAGCATGAAATAGATGATAACTGATTAAAAAAAGCTTGATTTCTTGTCTTGCTTGTCATAAGCACTCGCTCATAAATCCTGTTTCTAACCTACGCGTGATATGATCTAAAATGATATACCTAAGCTTGTTGTAAAAGAGTTCGGATGGGTTTTTGTGTGATGAGAGACAAAAGAACAATTCATCGGTTTCTAATGTCGATAAACTAGTGATTCACACAATATAAATTCCCTTTGCGAGTCTCTCCCTCCCCCAAATCCTTTGCTTGATTTAAACGTCATTAGCGCACATAATGGTATCAGAGAGCTCTTGTCTGATCGGAGTGTGTTGACTTGTCATAAACTAAAAGCCGTGAATTATCACTCCTTACCCACAATTTGCAATTTGACGATCCAAACGTTTATAACGTGATCTAAAAGTGATAAGTACGACTGCAGGCCTCTGCACTAGACGCTGAACAAACAAATTTTATTCCCATCGCGCCCGAAACAGAAGCCATACAAATGTGTTTTCCACATTCCCCCCACTTAACACAACCCCGCCTCTGCAATCCAAGCAATGGGCTGATTCTGGCGGGAATGAATATGCATTTTGTTAGGGGGGGATGAGAGAACGAGCCACGGTACTTCGGGATTGTTTAGCTCAAAGCCCTCCAGCATACTTCTAGTCGAGGAGTCTCTCTTTTTTTTTCACACATGAGCCTCTTTTTTATGCATGAGCTCAGAAAAACAGTGGACCCGGGTAGCATCGCACTCGGAAATCTTGGGGCTCGGTTCTTACCTGTATTAGGTATGAAACTCTAAACCCCGGGACTGCCGTTTTGGTATTGTGTTTGCGAATGAATTATTTAGGCTGGAGTATTTCCTCACTTGCTCCGAGGTAAACCACACAAGGTGCTGCTTCTAGGGAGAAACTAGCTTTGTGAAAAAAAGGAAGACTGCCCGATTCGGGAGCTAGCTTTCATTATAACGGATAAGGTTGCTGGAGTCAAGGGCGCACGGTCGCTTAGACAAGGCCACGTCGTGGTATACATGCGCCCGTGATCACAGTTTATTTTCCCGTTGTTAAACCCTTAGCACTGCCACCTAAAGTAAACAAGTCAACATTAGTTATGTGAGGGGATCTACCGGAGGGGGATGTGTTTTCATATGGAAAGGACTAGGCGTGGTTAGAAGAGTAGTAATCAGCACCGGACATTGTCTGGTCCCCGGGCCCCCCGGGCGTACCGATGGCAGGTATGATAGGAAAGATAAGTACAAATGAGGTGGAAGGAACGAAGACACCTGACCGGCACTAGAACAAAAGGCTGGAGACGATTCACCTTGTCAGCGCACCGGGCAAGACAATGATGTCTATTTGTTTAAGTCGCCAGGTGATACCTGTTGTCAGGTTGGCACCGATGACATAGGGTTCATGGCAAGGTTACCTTACATACATACATACAACACACCGGGATCTAGCCCGTTGTACGAGTCGGCTGTACGCTTCGGGGTAGATACGGCAAAT